AGCAGATCTCAGCATGCTGAAGAAACATCAATGCGCATCACCGACAACTGTGGAGGGGGCCCTCGCCAAGATTCAGACCAATGACTCCTTGGCTCGTAGCGGCTGTGCGCCGGGCAAATCCACCGGAGCCCCGAACCACAAAACAAGCCCAAGGCAACTTATCCGCCAGCTTTGTGGAGCCATACCTCGCAACACAGGTTTGGCAGGCCCACCAGGTCACATCTAGTGGAAACGCTGGGATGGGTAGAATCCAAGACCATCCGCTGGAGGCTGCGGCACGTCCGCAACAACATTGAAGGTGCTTGCCCCATTAGCCTGTCAGGGTTGTGGCTGAGGTAGTGAGCGGTTTGAGGTCTCGAGGCTTCTACTTGTTCAGCAGTTTGCCATGTAGCTAACGTTCGCAAGGATGTACTTTGCCAGTCCTTGATGGAGTGCTGCACTGCAATCTCAATGGCTTGTTGCCTGAGACCTGGACGAGTTCAACTCGATGCGGGTGCTGTTTCTAGGCTGCACCACGAAAGGGTTGCTGAGGAGTCGAGGCACTAGTTGCTGTGTCATTTTGATTTGACCACGAAATACGGCTCACTGGATCGGCGACAGCATACCGCGTCCGAAAGCGTGTGCGGCCCGGTCCTATATGGCATTCGGGGCTGCCCGACACAGGCTGCTCTATGTGGTCACGGTGATAGCGCTGGAACTTCTGATGCTCAGCATCCGCGATCCGCGCTGGGCTTCGAGCTCAGGGCGCTTGATTGGTTCCCGTGATGGAATTTGACAGTCTTTGGCAACTTGGGGAACATAAATGCCTTGACGTCTGTGCCGGCGTCGTCGGCCACGGCCGCTAAGTACGACGGCTATTGTGGTTTCACAGCAGGGGTGCCAGAGAGTTCTGGTCGTCTCGGTTGGCGAGGTGAATCTCCATGCTTGCAGACGAGTGTCTCTAGATCGTACACAGACATGCCATACGACTCTGCACCTATCGCTGCGGTCAGTGAACATCTGCTGACCCCCCCGTGCATCCGCTCACCAGGTCAAGCGAGGACTTCGGGTGGGTGCAATGTTCGGCAACCGGGCCACGAATAGTCAGTGGAACCATCTTGCTACAGTGAACCCCTTCGGAAGCAATGGCATCGCAAGTTGTTCCATGAGTAGTCGTTCGACTGCATTCTGCATTTGCCATTGTAGTGTTGGCTGAGCGGTGCATAGGCCGGGGTTCTCCGCTGTGCTACTGGTATGACGTCGGTTTGGATAGAGCTTCTGCTTGAGGGCGCCACCTTGAGGGCCAGCAGTTCTCAAGTTGATCAGCGTGGTACAGAACAACGTCGAGCAAACTAGGAGCAGTCAAAGTCACGGTTTTCCATAGGTTTTTTGCCAAGCAAGCCTCAGAGGTTGTAGTCATCGCAGTAGCGAATAACAGAGGCGTTGGAGGAGGGCTCTGGAAGCTAAGGTGCCGTGCTGGGCTGGCTCCGCGCTCTGGCTGTCGTGGACCCCGACCACTTGCTGCAGTGGGGTTGAAGACATTTCTGGTCTTTGGGCCGTTTGGGCTGAGCTACTCATGGCAACTGTATAGTTCGGTCGGCTGTGTGACTCGAAACTCGAAACACGACCCCGACCGAAACTAACTTCGGGTGATCGTAAAGTCGAAAAGACGATTCGGGGCCACTTCTTCCTCGAATCTTTGCGAACGACCTAGGTAGTAGGCTTGCACATAGAATACGGGCATTTGCTTCGATGATTTTTGGCAATGACAAGGAGGGAACGACAGATCTAAATAGGCCAGACCATGGCAGCAGCATGAGAACATGCATTGATGCTGCTGGTTACCCTGGAGTGACATAGTGTGCGTCATCACATCCATAGCATACAAACAGCAGCACAACAGGGCCAAGGAAAGCCAGCAGCGACAGTCCCCACAACGACGCCGGCTGCTGTTTAAAATGTGGTTTGCGAGCATGACGGCTACTGCCAGTCAAGTTGCTACTTGGAGTATGATCGTTCGGATTCCCGCCGTACTTCGTGTACATGTCAGTGATGATTCGACATGTCGGAGATGAAAAACAAATGCGAGACTTCAAAACCGGAAGTGCGAGTCCAAGAAGTGGGTGGCTCCTTGCTGTGCTAGACACGTACCCGCTTCTGTGGACAGAGGCTCTACGTGACAGCTTGTTGTCAGGGGTTGAGGTGTTTCCGTGATGAGTGGTTGCTTCGAGTCGGAGAAAGGGCTCCAGATTGTTGCCAAGAGTGGGACGACTAATGAGCCAGTCTCCGTTGACTTCGCCACCGAGGATCGGCATGGCTTTGGGCGGGTTTTTCAGCCACTTGGCCACACTGCTTCGTGGAGATCAGAAAAGCTTCATTGGTTTTCTCTTGCACACGCGGACAGCTGGAAGATCATCTTGCTCGTGGTGCTGTTCCCGCCCGTTCCCGATTGCGTCACTATACGGAGAACAGCAGACAAACAGAAGCCGCATGGACGCTGCCAGAGCAAGTGACTTTGCAAGCACACACAGGCAGCAAACATGCTGTGGCATTACTGCTTGAGATTGCGTCGCAGAAGTGAAGACTTCGTCATTGCCCGACTGGTGGGAGACGGCAAGACGTGACAAGCCCTGAACCTTGAACCTTGACAAAGCGAAGCTCTAAGTCACCTCCTTTGGCAAGAGAATGTCCCAGCCGGCCTGAGCAAACATGTCTTCCTGCCTAGCACGACAGCAAAAATTGCCGCCCCGCGCTGGGTTGAGGCAGGGCCTGTCCGGGCAGACCACCTGGCCGAGACACTGGCAGATTCTAGAGGCGGGGCTCTGCAAAGGTGGAAGACCCAATATGCTGATACAAAGAAGCAAAAGTTTCGCAGCTCGGCATATCAAAAAACAGCATACATCGTTTGCGAAGCGTGTAGTATCTATCAAGTTTTTTATTTTCACATAGGGCTTTCATTATGCAGAATTAAGGAATGCATACCCAAATGCCAGCAGATACCTGATATACCAGCGTGTCAAAGCAATCGCATACGGGCGTTATTGAGAGCTGCACAAAGCTTCGTACCAACGCTTAGAAAAACAAACACATTGAAAGCTTTAAATTCTCAAATCTAGTTCGCCGTAGGGCATGACTGAAGCAGACTAGTGACTAAAGCCGCATTTGGTAGTGAATCGGATCTACGGGGGTGTAGAGTTTAGAGAACAGTCACACAGGCATGAAACACGAAATTGTATCGACGGCTGCAAGGCAAGGATTTACAGGGTTTCGACGAGGCCGTTGTAGAATTCATGACGTTGTAGCTGGTCAGCATTATGAAAGCATGGGTTGACCGAATGATAAGTGCAATCAATCAGGACTCATCAGGACTCGCAACTTCCTAGGTTAGTCACCAAACTAGGTTTGCAGAGATGAAGCCTGCTGCAAAAAGGGTTTAGGGTATTCATCTATTTATTTACTTGCTCATATATATATATATATATATATATACCCTGGGCGTCCGCCACCCCGTTAAACTGGTGGGTTGTGAACGCACCCGTTTAACTGGTGGGTTGGACGGCGCCACACCAGGTGTCATCGATGCAGAGGCTCAAGACACCAAACAGCTGACCGTGAAACTAGCGTGAAAAAAGCGTGAAACAACACCAGAAAACCGTGAAACACACCCAAATAACTGTGAAACCACCACCAATGACTGTGAAACTTTGTGCATAAGAAAGCAGTGTTATCATCCACTGAAACAATGTTAAATTCAGTGTTTGAGGTGTGTTCAGTGTTTTGCGTGGTTTACTTGAACGCACCCGTTTAACCGGTGGGTTGGACTTGCAGGGTATATATATATTTAAATATATAAAATTGCATTATATACCATCTATTCGATGAGAAGCCTTCAGTCTGGGAGGTTACCGGCGCTCCCGTGGAGAAGGCCCCTCGATGCTGGAGCCGTTCCATCGCTTTGAGAAGTGGAAAGGGGCTTTATGAAATGCGAAGGAATAGGAATTCTGAAGCCTGCAGGCTAAAAGTCATTTCTAGCTTCCAATCAGTCTGGGCGAGAAACACATTCCAGTAGTCATAGCACGAAGCCCTAAATCTGAAACTTGAAACGTGCTGTTCGCCGTGTACGCCCAGGCATGTCCGAGTGTGAGTGCTGAAATCTGAAACGTGCCACCATAGAGAACGGGACGCACATTGGGATCGCAGGCAGAGGGAGGAATCTTCCGGGTCCTCTTTTTAGGGTTCGGTTTTTAGGCCTGCAAAGTTGCAAGAAGGGGTGCTGGGCAGGCTGGAAGCAAAAAGGGTGTGGTTTCAAGTGAGAACCACTTTGCTCATCTGCTGCACCCACATTCGCGCAAGTACTGCTGCACACCGGTTCTGTTCATTTGGCGATGCTTTTGCTTCGCCGTATCCCAACATTGACATGTATGTTGTGCCCTTTGGAGGTGGATGTTCATCCTAGATTTTTCAGCCGATCCCCAGGATCAGGGCTTTCACTTCGGCTGCGGGCCTCAGGGTACCACCTAGCTGTAAAATCTTGAATCTTCTGCCTGTTGCGGCCTGACAGGTGGACATTTTCGCACAGCCTGCTCGGTGAGAAGCGGGCACCTCTAAAGAAAGCGATTCGTTCATGTGCAGCAGCTGTCTGGCGAACTGCATTGCGAAATTCAGCGTGTTGCAGGAGCTTGACAGCACCTCAAGAGTGCAATGTCTAGCTGTCTTGCTCATTCGTTTGTTTGCACGGCCTGTGCGAGACGACACGGAAACTTTGCAACATCTCGCTCGTACTCGTGGGTGCAGTGGGGCATCGCCGTTGGCTAGATGTGCATTTGTTTCGCCGGCAAGTTGCAAATATGTGTGCTTTAAGAAGAAGCCTTTCGTAGATCGCCCGACAAAGAGACGGGCCCTCACTTTAAGGATCCAGCAGATGTCCAAGTGGAAGCTTGTGCTTGTACCGAAAATTTCTCCGTGCCTTCTGCTTGTCACGGCAAGCAACTCACCACAGGAGCTAGTTAGTCGTCCGCGAGGCTGGCGAGGAGGACATCGGCGTGATCTCACCCTACACAGCTCAGGTGGGTCTGCCCAGTCACACCCGGAAGAGTCGGTGCGAGCCAGCGCTTCGTGACTGTGAGATGCATTCGATGCCTGTAACGAAGGTGGCGCAAATTAAGTCAGCCATGGAGGCGGATAAGATGTCCTTCCAGGAGAATGCGAAGCTTGTATCGCACGTCTGAGTCAAGACCCTCTTGGCTTTGCAGTGCTTTGGACCTGCAGGAGCCGGACGCGAGGGCAGAAGCAACGCGCTTTCCAGAGGTTAAGACTGTGGATGGCTATCAGGGACGCGAGAAAGACGCCACTCGGCAGAAGAGGTTGCAACTACAAATGCGAAGCACTTTTCTGAATGCTCGTCGGCTGCGCTTGTCGGTTTCTCGTTCTTAGTCTGCTAATGTCTGCTACAAGTATAAAGCTGAAACTCTGTTAGCAAAACGTTCACGGAAGCAGACCTGAAGCTTCCCACTTCGTGTTGCTGCTGTAATGTAATTACAATATGTTTTTGGTGCAGGTGTGGTGTTTCCAGGGAATTGAGTTAGAGGATCCGTGTCAATATTCGCAGCGCTATTGCTGTTCCTGTTCGTGTTGCGGTAGCACTTCGCTTTCCGATTCTCGTCTTCACGGCGGTCGTGATTTTCGCCGTGCGGCTTGTGGTTTTGCTGCTGTTGGCTGTTGCTGTTGCTCCTGCCGTACGTAAGTATCACTCGACATTACTAGATTTAGTGGTGGTAGTTCTCGTCATTTCCGTAGTGTCGCCAGTGAACAAGATGGAGGCGGAAGTTGAAGGGGAGTGGACAAGTTCTGCTCACAATAGCATAACGCGAAAAAATAAGCCGATATAAGCGGGATGCAACAGATGCAACTGCCCAGCGTCTGCCACCGCAAGAACAACAAGCATTCTTGCATTTCAGCAAGCCACTGACCACAACCACGACTACAAGCACCATCACGGGCTACACCGACAGTTCTCTAGTTTGTCGCGCAAGGTGATCATCCTCTCGTGCGTACGAACGCAAGGCCCGGAACATCGGGGTTTTACAGATGGCAAGCTTGACAGACTTGAGCGACGCCCGAAGCGGGTCTCGTCCCAGCCAGCCAGGAGGCAATCAAGAACAACAGCAGCAAAACAGCTGTTGAAAGTTCAAGGGTGGGCCGACGGTGGCAGATTGGAGTGCAGAATTCAGGTCCTCCGGTCCTTGGACATCGTACACATTCATGGTTTGCAGTTCGAAGGTTGTCACCATCTAGTTAATATGATCTTGCATGAGGTTCCAAGCCTCAGTTTCCTGAACTTCATTGGGGAAGGCAGCTTCTGAACACCTGTTTAGACTCCAGAAACACACCGAACACCCTAAACCCTGCAGATTTTCGACCCTGTATGACCACAGCGTCCAGGTTAGTTGCACAAAACGTGTGACAGGCTCTACATGGTCGGTGGAAAAGTCGCTGTTATCTACATGCTTACACTCTGAACCCGAAACCTTAGAAACCCTCAACCAGTCCTTGCCAGAGCGTACAAACCCTCAACCCTTGACCTCATCTGTCTTGCCCGAGCGTGACAGCGTCAACCCGGAATCTTAGACACCCTTTGAGGCACTAGCTGCCAGCCCACTAGTGCAATTTCTAATTTTGGATTTTTACAACAAAATCAGAACCAGAAACGAAACAAAACAATGATAGCAGTTTCGGTACCATTCAAGCTTAACTCGATGATGATGATAATCCAGGCGTATGAATAAGCTGTGCTTGAAAAGGACTTGGCTTCCTGTCGGATCAGCGACGGCTCAATGTGGCTATCACCCGGGCCAAGTCCCTCTTGGCAGCTCGGTGCGTTGAAGGGGGCATATCACGGGCTGTTCAGGTTTTATATGCCTAGGGGCTTGCGGTATACTTTGGATTTGTTGATCTATCGCCTTCGAAACAGTGGAGGGGTATTTTATCATTGAGGCGGGAAGGCTTCGTAGTCGCGAACTGTTTTCAAAATCTTTAAATGAGTGAGAGTAATGTGCTGATTCCTCCGGGCTCTCAGGTCCAAAACGATGCAGCGTGGCATGTCAAATGCAGTTGTAATGTTGATGACGCTGGTTAGATACCGGTGCTTTAGTGGCCAACCGACAACCCAATCAGTCACGGAGGGCTTTCTAGTGACTAGTGCTTAATGACGGTTTACATCCTGGAAGGCGTTTACCTGGGGTTGAGAACAGATGGATGCAGAATCATGCCCAAAGACAGAAACATGGCACTTGTAGGCAAGCACCTCAAGAGCTGCAGTCGTCTCCTATCATTACTCTACATAGCTCTCAGTACGTAGATGGATAACGGGCCCGCTTTGAGAACTCCGCAGGTGGTCATAGGATGTGCAGAGCTCCTGCAATCCGACCCAGTGCCCTGGTTCACTTCAGAATCTGCTTGATCTTTGCGTAGGTTGAAATGAAAGTCCATGCTGCCGTGCTACAAAACAATGACGGCCTTTTGCGGTGGAAACAAGAATGGCGATGAGATTCTGAGAGCAGTGGTGCTTAAGGTATTTAGGGCTTAGTGCATTGCAGTCCCTGCTCAAAAAAGTGTTTTTTGTTTCGGTGACGGTGGCAATGCCAAAAGAATCATTGTGGTGATGAGTGCGATGGGGATGAGAATGAGCACGGTGATGCGAATGGTGACTGTGCCCCAAGAAGACCTAAAGTTAAAGGCTGTGGTGATGATATGATGCTACAAACATGATGTTCAGGATCATCATCTTCTGACCCGCCATCATCACCAGAGTCATGTTCATGATGACGAATCCACCACGG